CCTTCCCCCCCCCCCCCCCCCGGCCCTCTTCGCTACCATGTCAGTACCAGAAAGACACTGAAAATGCAGTGGGCGGGGGAAAGGTCCTAAGGGGACACAGGCCATCGCTTTATCTCGGAAGGTGCGCTACGTGTGTCGAAATATATATCCATGACATGACCTCCCCTCCAGCATTTTGTGTCTCAGCATGACTCCGATTTGATCGTTGAGAGAAAAAGCAAAAGAGGAAAAAGCCAGAAAATGGAAGACTTTTACAAGCCGTGTGAAAGGGTACACCACCGACAGATGCCAGAGGCTGATAACGGTGGGCTCCGTGCTCCCAAAATGTGCATGTTGTCAGAAGCTCGGACGGGAGGTGGAAACCCGGAGACAGAAAGCCCACTGCTGACGCAAAATTGAAATCGTAACTTTCTTGCAAGCGCCGCATTTAGCTAAATGAGAGAGGAAGCTAATTGTTCGCCTGCTTGACGCTTGCTTTTTCAATGTCGTTCCGAAACGACTGCTGTCATGCAACTGAACATCTCCCAAGAGATGTCAAGAGGAAAAAACAGTGCGCCGTTTCACAACCCCAAAGGAGCCCATCCATGTGAACGGCGCGCTCTTGAAATACGCCCCGCTAAGCTTCAGTCCCTGCTCAGTTGAGGCTGGAGCCTTCAGGAAATTGCACCCTGCAAGCCAATGACAACAAAGTGCCAGGAACAGAGAGAGCAGAGCAGCGTGCTCGTAGTGCTTATGAGAGAAGAGCAAAAAGGAGGGGCCGGCCGGGCAGACGGATCGCTTTTCATACTTTCCAAAATAGTAGCGAGGACACACACACCAATGCGATCGGGTGCGCCACTTTTCAAATCAACCAAGACGTATGCGGTCAGTCGCTTGCTTTCCTTTCTATCCAAAGTCCACCAGGTGATTTGATCCCTCGTGGAGCTCCCGACAGCCGCCATCTAACGGTGGCCTAAAACCCCCCCAAAACAAAACAACGACAACACTTTGGACAGCAAGCGTTTTCAATCTGGACTTGATTCAAATGAATAAGCAGGTCCAGAAACGCAAGCAAATATAATCTCCTGTTGGGCTCAACTGGTATCAACTTCACCTGGTCCAGCCAAGTCAGTGTTTCGGAGCCTCGCGGTTCCTATCTTCAGATTTGACAAAAGAGATTATAGGCTAGACCAGGGGTGTCAAACTCATTTCACATTGTGGGCCACGTACGGACTCGGTAGATGTCAAGTGGGCCAGACCATTAACATTATACCATACTGTGCTATGAATCACCAAAATCTCATCTCTTTCCTTTGTTTTGGTCTCAAGAAGCATTGATTGGCGCTTTCATATCATTTGCTGCGTTGGGTCTATCTCGGTGACAGACTGAGACTGCTGTTTTCTTCTCCGATCAAAGCAATGTTGTCTTCTACTGTGATCAAAACAATGTGCCCCCTTAGCGGATAATCCACGAATTGCATTTTATTTCAAATATTCATTCTGTGTCTTTAATGCATATTTTTTTTTTCCACTTTTAAATCATCCCGCGGGCCGGATCGAACCTCCTTGGGGGGCCGGTTCCGGCCCGCGGGCCGTATGTTTGACACCCCCTGGGCTAGAATGATCGGTTTGCGCAAAAGACCGACTTCACTCTTTCGACTCGGTGTAAATTACAGTGCAATTTTTTCCTGCAGCCCAGACAATGGTGGAGCGCCAGATACGGTCGTCAGAACGACCGAGCGAAGTCCGCCCTCTATGCAAATGAGGAGCAGCGACAAAAATAAAACCAGCAATGTGTTTGATGCCTAACACCACTTCCACCCTCCACTGAAGCAGCTCCGATACTCACTTTTGTTTTCTTTCAACTGCTTTTTTTGTTGAAACTTCTGACCGGAATGGAATACTTGTTTTGCTCTCTGAAAGCGTGAGGGGGGCGCCTGGCCTGCCAGCAGGGATGTCCAGAGCCACGAGATCAACCTCTCGGTCTCGGAGCCACTCCAGGTCCCGGTCACGATCGCGCTCCGGGTCCCGGTCCACCTCGCGCTCTCGGAGAAGCCAGTCGCGATCCCGCTCCAGGAGACATCGTTACAGGTAGAGAGTTCACCCATTTAAAAAAATGAAGAAAAAAGAAAAAAAAAGTGTTCAAAAATGGCTTTGTGGTTGTTTCTGCCTTAGGCTGATGACGTTTGAAATCTCTTTTCCCCAATTGATTTTGCCATTAATCGTCTCCCCCCCGGGCCAATTGGGTTGCCCTCATTACCGGCAAGCATAGAGTCAAAACGGGATTTGAGTAGAGAGCCCTCCTCCTCCTCCGGTTTGGGCCATGTGACACAGTAAGCGCAAAGCGCTGCCATTAAGCGTGTGCAGAGCGGCTCAGCGCAAGCGCCTCGTGAATCGCTCGGTATTCCAATGAAAAAAAGGACGCGGTGAGTGGTTTTTCTTTCTTTGCATTTTTTTGCACGTCTGTCATATGTCTCCTTTGATGTCTTTTTTTTTGTTGCCGTTGGATGGGTGCCTTGGTTTCGGAAGACATATGGGTGCTTTGTCGACGAGCTTAGACGTTAGAACATTTCCATCGATGGTGCGAGGGAGAATTAGGACAAGATGTTCATGCCCCCACACCAGGTGTCAAACATCCATCACATCAGATGTACCAAGGGGGGCCAGTCCCAAAATGTCTCCGAGCACACACACATACGAGAGAGCTAACAGCATCGAGTCATGGTCGTCATTTGCGGACGAGTGCATATTTGATGTTGAGGCTCCATTCGTGCGCAAAAAGAGGAGCACCGGAGCCACCGTGTGGAACTATTGCGTCACTATACGTTGGTAGGCCATCTTTTCTGCATCAACAGGGCAACTTCACTGAAGAAGTCCTGCACAGAAGGAAGGACGTCTTCTGTGACTTTTTTTTTTTTTGTCAAAATATCCCGTTGCCGTCATGTACGGCGGAATGGAATGATCGCCAATCAAGGAGACGAGGGCTCGATGAGCGAGTGGTTGAGGAGAAGTACTTTGGAGAAGATTTCAAATGAAGCACAGAATGAAAACAAAAAAGAAATCAGAATCTGGCAGAACCTCGACTTGGAAAAAAAAGCCTCGGCTGGGTCATGGCCCCTTCGACAGCACAGCGCCATTGGCATGAGCTGCACTTCATGTATTGTCCAGTAACCCCAAATCCAGAGGTGGCAAAAGTACTCATATGCTGTGCTTTAGTAGAAGTACAGATACTTGTGTGTGTGTGTGTGTGAGTGAGTGTGTGTGTAGTGTGTGTGTGTGTGTGTGTGTGTGTGTGGGTTCAAATGGCAATCTTTATCTTGATATTATTTTGTACTCAGTTTTTATTTTGTACGCGGTTTGCAATTTCTTGTAGCAAGTGGGAAATTTTAAGCGAGACGCTTTGTTTCACGTGCTTCTTGAAAAATTGAACAGGTCTGCAATTGAACAATTTCGATGTAGCATGTGATGAATCTGAAGACAGGGAACACAAAATTACTGGACTGACATTGCCCTCACGGCAACAAATGGAATCGGGAGCCAGTTAATCTGGAGGCTAGTTGAACTGTGACACCGGCGTTGATCACCTAAACAAAAGATTCAATACTGTATCAAACTCACGGTGCAATTTTGATGACTATAGTTGTTTGTGATTCACACGTTCAAAATCAACATTCAGAATTGCTCCTCGCAGTTGAAAAAAAGTCCACTAAATTCTCTATCAAACCCATTTTAAAAGTGCCAATAGGAATATGATTTCAAGCTGCACTTTGAGCTGACAGCAAATACTTTTTCATTCATAAATTTCTGTTGGCTACATTGAACTTTTTAATTTTGTCAATTAGACTTTATCCAGGCATTCATCGTTTCTCTTTGAGGTTCCAAGATCATAAAGGGAGCACTAGGATTTTTGTCTCTATGGCCCAAGGGCCGAAGTGAAGGATACCTGGACTTCAGGGCTATTTCCTGTCTTCCCTCGACTGTAAGAATGAGTGTCCAAGACTCTGGTTGAGGTTTTCTCTGTGGATTTTTCATTGTTTATCGTCTGTGTGTTTGCGTGGGATTTCTCCGGGTACTCCAGCCTCCTCCCACATTCTAAAAGCATACATCATAGCTTCAATTAAGACTCTAAATCGTCCATGCGTGTGTCTGTCTGCGTGTGCGTGCGTGTGTGCGTGTGTGTGTGTGTGTGTGTGTGTGTGTGTGTGTGTGAGTGAACAAAACCCCCCGGCCCACAGAGTCCAGACTCAAAATGTGATTTTTCTTCTAGCTCGAGGTCACGGTCTCGATCACGGTCCCGGTCAAGATCTCCGTCGCCACTTTATAACCGCGACAAGAAATACCAAAACAGCCGCGAGTTCCGGGGCTACCACCGCGGCTTCCGGAGGCCGTACAACTTCCGAGGCAGAGGACGGGGCTACTTCTCCCGCGGGCGATACCAGCGCGGCGGCGGCGGCGGCGGCCGCGGTGGGAGGGGCTACAATCACAACAACAACAACGTCCGTAACCACTGGAAAAATGAGCGGCAGAACCCGCAAAAGCAGCAAAAGCAACAGCACCAACACCAGTCCCAAGGGCGACCCGGCCCCCAGAAATTCTCCGGAAGCCCCCCTCCTCCTCCTCCTCCTCCCGGACACTCCCGCCACTCGGAGCGATCGCTTTCTCCGTCGTCCAGGCAATCTCAGCATTCAAACGCTTCCTCTCACAGCTCTTCTCCAAAAGTCCCTTTGGTGGCGAATCAGAGTTGCGACGCCGTGAAAGAGGAGGAGCTTTTGGCCTCCGAGGAGGCCCAGAAAGACGGGGCGGATGTGCAGCGATCGGAGGCAATCGATGCGCGAGAAGGTCAAAATGGCGGCTCAACCGAGGGGGTCTGCAAAGTCCCGGCAGAATGCAACAGCGGTCCAAAGAAAGCCGGTCCAGAAAATCCCGCCGTCAATGTTCCGAGCCACCAAAACTCCCACCAGGCTGCCCTGAATGACGCCGACAATGGTGCCCCCTCTTGGCGGCCGGTCTGTAGTGCACCCTGTACCAATATCTTGTCACAGGAAGCGCTCGACCAAATGCTTTCCAGCCTCGGCATATTCAAGAGCGAGGAATTCCCGGACGGAGATAAAATGGCCATCTCTGCCGCCTTCAGAAAGTAAGACCTCGTTTCTTCTTGCGGCTGTCATCGCTTCTCTACTTGTGCATAGAGTTGTCGCGCTAGCTTTGTCTTCTCTCTGTGTGTGTGTGACCTCGGTTCAGGTTTCTGAAGGAGCACGCGAAAAAACCTAAACCCGCGGAGGACGATCAAGCCCACGCGACTGCCGCCGCTGCGCCGGCACCCGGCGTCGAGCCGCCCTCAAAGCGCCGCACGCAAGAGCCCAACGGCAAAGTGACGTTGAACCATTTACTCAAGGATTCGCCTCCTCCGTCCGATGAGGCGGAGGAAGAGCCGCCCCTCAAGTCACTCAACAACGGCGACCCGGACGAGCCCCCTCCAAAGGCCGCGCGTCGGTCCGGAGAGCCGTTTGACGAGTGCTTTGACGGGCGGCGGCGGCGACGTCCGGCCCCCTCGCGGGGAGCCGACGGTGAAGCCGACGCCCTCGGAGAGGAGAGGTACGCCGCTCGTAAATCGGCCGCTACGGCTCGGCGGGAAATGCCCTTTGAAGAACTGGACTGCCAACCCGGCGGAGTGGCCAAACCTCCCTCGGCGCCATCTCTCATGCCACTGCCGAGGCGGAGCTCAAACAGGGAGATGTTTACCTCGGCGGAAGCGGACTCGCCCCCGTTGCCTCTGAGAAAACCTGAGCCCAAGGTGCATGTCAGAATGGACTTCCTCGGAGATGGCTCCATCGGGTAAGTACTCGGTTTTCTCGTTTTGGGAGACTTGGCTCGAGACGTTGCCGCCGCCGCACGGGGGGGCGGTTTGACTCACTTGTTACCGCGTTCAGCGCTTCCGCTTCCGAGATCTTGGAGCGACAGTTCTCTCAGGACCTGGCGCAGTGGTCAAAGAGGGGCCGGGAGTTCCGCTCCATCTTTCAACACGTTCAAACCGCTCCGATGCAGAGGACTCCCTCCGAGCTGTTTGCGCAGCACATCGTGGCCATCTTGCACCACGTCGGAGGTGAGCGTCGAAATCAAGTTCTCAAATGGAAAAAGGCTACCTGCGCCGAGAACCCGCGCCTTCCTTTGCTGCGCGACCACGTATTTTGCGCATAGGACATAATGGAAAAGGAGCGAGAATAACGTCTCTCCATTTTCGCCCAGCCCAGCACTTTGCGTCTCCCCGAATGACTCTGAACGAGCGATTCACCGTCTACCAAAGACAAGCTGCGGAGAGGCCGCCGCCGCACGGGGGGGCGGTTTGACTCACTTGTTACCGCGTTCAGCGCTTCCGAGATCTTAGCTCAGGAGCGACAGTTCTCTCAGGACCTGGCGCAGTGGTCAAAGAGGGGCCGGGAGTTCCGCTCCATCTTTCAACACGTTCAAACCGCTCCGATGCAGAGGACTCCCTCCGAGCTGTTTGCGCAGCACATCGTGGCCATCTTGCACCACGTCGGAGGTGAGCGTCGAAATCAAGTTCTCAAATGGAAAAAGGCTACCTGCGCCGAGAACCCGCGCCTTCCTTTGCTGCGCGACCACGTATTTTGCGCATAGGACATAATGGAAAAGGAGCGAGAATAACGTCTCTCCATTTTCGCCCAGCCCAGCACTTTGCGTCTCCCCGAATGACTCTGAACGAGCGATTCACCGTCTACCAAAGACAAGCTGCGGAGAGGGAGAGCGCCAAGTCGAGAAAGAGCCCAGAGATTCACAGGTAAGAGTCAAGTCGCCCTCACGAGTGAACAACAACGCTCACCCCCGCGGGCATTTCTCTCCGCCGTTCCCACCCGAACTCGTGTTTTGTTTTCTTTGTCGGCAAAGGTCTAGTTCAGGGGTGTCAAACTCATTTCACATTGTGGGCCGCATACGGACTCGATAGATGTCAAGTGGGCCGAACCATTAACATCATACCATACTGTGCTATGATGAATCACCAAAATCTCATCTCTTTCCTTTCTTTTGGTCTCAAGAAGCATTGATTGGCGCTTTCATATCATTTGCTGCGTTGGGTCTATCTCGGTGACAGACTGAGACTGCTGTTTTCTTCCCCGATCAAAACAATGTTGTCTTCGACTGTGATCAAAACAGTGATAGTTCAGAATTGCATTTTATTTAAAATATTCATTCTGTGTCTTTAACGCATTTTTCCCCCACATTTAAATTATCCCGCGGGCCGGATCGAACCTCCTTGGGGGCCGGTTCCGGCCCGCGGGCCGTATGTTTGGCACCCCTGGTCTAGTTCTTCATTCGGATGTTGTGTCTTCGTAGCTCGGCGCGGCGGCGGACGAACCGCCCCGCCCCCCCCTGTCTTTAACCGGTGTCGCCGTGTGCTCCCTTGCAGGAGAATCGACGTCTCGCCGAGCGCTTTTAAGAAACACTCAAAGGTTTTTGAGGCAATGAAAAGCTCAGAGGATGGCGCGGACAAGGTGACTGAATATTTTTGCACTATGACCTTATAAAACGGAAACGGCGCAGCAGGCTGAGCAAGCCGGAACGGACGCCTTTCGAGCGCCCGCCCGCCCTCTCATGAATGAATGTCGATGATGTGGCACTTGGACTTTCTTATCGTGAGTCGGTTATTATGTCGGCCCGAGCCTCGCCTGCGGCTCACGAATCCGATCAAAGTCAAAACGTGGACGCCGCTCCGCCCCAAAGCCGCTCGGAGGGGACTGACTGTCGTTGTAAGTATCCAAACCATGGAAAGATGCAAAAAAAGATCGCAAAAAAAACAAGCGAAAACTGATGAGCCATTTGAGTTGGATTCGCTCTCGCTTGTACTGTGGGTTTTATTTGACGCGCCATCTTGGCAGACTTGCTCGTCGTCCCCCAAGGCCATCCGTCCATCCCCACGACGCTTTGTTCTTTTTGTGCATTGTTCAGGACGTCGGGGACAAAAGCAAGGGCGACCCAACGGACCTGCGCTTGGATATCGAACGCCGGAAGAAGTACTCAAGCGGCGAAAGAGATTCCAATCATCAGGACGGGGGCGCCCATTCCCCAGACCCCGGTCGAGGGCAGTCGGAGGAAACGTTTTCCAAGAGATCCAGCAGGTCCGTGCCACAGCCCCCCGTCCGTCCACCTGAGATTTCCCACGAAAATTGCGGGATACTGCTGGAACGTGCACGTGCCCTTTGCGCCCCCCTTGTAGGATCAGCGAGAGCAAGTTCTCTCGCTCCAACTCGTCCTCATCGTCCTCCTCAAAGTCCCACGTGGACGACGTGCCCGAGGCCGCAAACGACGGCTCGAACGGGGCTCGGCTTGCTTCGACTGAGACGCCCGCGGAAAAAGAAACGCGGTGGAGAGAATGCGTAAGTTCCCTTTGGAAGTTGTCTGCTGGGCAATATTTGGGGTGGGGTTGGGGGGGGGGGTCTATTTGACTTTTTTCCGCCTCCATTCCGCAATGTCAGGAACGGGACTCGGCAAAGTTTACCCCCCAACGCTTAACTCCCCCCTCGGCTGATGTGCGGAAAAGCGATATAGCGGGGGGCGGGGCGAACCGCGATCCCCGATATAGGTTGGGGGGACACAGTAATCAATACGGTGGATTCATTGGCCCACAACCTGGAGCTTGAGAAACTGCATTTCTGCTGCAGCGAGTACGATTTAGCGGAAGGGGCTGGAGGAGGGCCGACTACCAGGGGGACTGCAATCCAGGCATGGCGGCGGCGGCCCCCCGAAATGAGCACTGGGATCAGGAATGCGCTCCGAAGAGCAGAACGTACTACTTGGTAGGACGGCTTTCTTCCCCCGCATTCGCCTCCCGTTTTCTTGACGATCGAACAATGAGTTGTATGTATTTCCGTCCGCGTGACCCAGCACGACGACAGAGACGGCCGGGTAGAAGGCGCCAAGCGGACGGACAACCCGGAAGGGCGAGGATGCGGCGCAGCAGGCGGCGGACAGCCCCGCTTCATCGTCCGGAAGGCCAACAACGCCTGGGGGCCAAACGCACGGGCCCAAGATCGGTTCCCGGTCAACGGAGAGAAAAGCGGCACGCGGCACGACGCTGCCGAACGGGACCAGAAAGACGGAAACACTTGAGCTTCCTTGACGGGGTTTGCGACGCGCATCCACTGGAGTATTCGACAACAAGCGCAGATTCCGCAGATGAGACTCGACTCTCACTTGACAGGCACAACACGGTGGAACGCTGTTTTCCACGTCGCTTCCCGGGTGCTCTTTGTTATGCTTTACGAAAATGACTGGTGGATTTTTAAAAAAAAACGTTGTTTGTGCCTTGGAACTTTTCAAATGACCACCAGGCTTTTAAAACCAAGACTTCAGTCAAGCGAGGGGGGGAAACGCTTCTTCTAGTTCTAGTTGGGATGAAAAAAAAAAAAAAAGCCATCCCATTCGTGCCTTTAAACGATTATTAAATTGTAAGACACTGCATGCTTTTTGTCGTCACGGTTGTGTCACACCTACTTCGGGTATTCGAGGCTCATCAAAAAGTCAGCTCGTCCGTTGGATTTGCAGTCGCTGGGCATCAAACAAACTTCCTGGACTTTTGAGGAGACTCTTCTTCTCGTTTGGAATTTCCGTTGTTCTCGGTCGGAGCTTTAAGCTCGAGAGATATCGGAAAACAACGTGTGCGTTTGACATATATACGATCGGATTTTGATGTTCCTTCAACCGGATTTCCATGCGGCGACGTCGGATATCAAAATGATCCAAACTGAGACCATCCAACACGATGTTTGGAATCCTTCCATTAGCTTAGCAACTTGCGTGCCCTGTCGGCGCTGAACGGAAGCCGCCGGATGAAAGGAGCGATCGATCGCGTCGTCTTTTGCCAGTCGCGGTGATGCTAACGCCCGTACGTGGGAATCGTAACTCGAAAAAGGGTTTCTGTTTACATGAGAACGCGTATTTCGTGTTCCCGATCGGGTCCATCTCCTTTGTCGCGCAGTACAAGAACACCGTTTGAAATGAATGAACGTTCGTCAAAATGTCGAATTACTCGATCACGATCGTTGTCGGTAGCGGTGCTTTCAAACTGCCGATTTAAAAGCGACGGAAAAAAATGCCGGCGGTCGGCGAACAGCATCTCCTTGTCTCAAGCGGTCCGAGACAAAAGAAAGGTTGGGGACAAGTTTGAGCTACGACGACGCAAACGTCTCCAGGCAGCTGCAACTGGCGCGACAGCGGGAATTGGTTGTTTGATTGATCGTTCTCCGCGTTTGAATCAGGCCCGATTTCCAAATACCCGTGTGAGTCGTTTTTTTTCCTTTTTCCAGTTTTTGTTCACATGACGCGTTATCCCAATTGTGCCACTTGCAGCCCACATTTCCGTTCCAAAACTGCACCAGGAGAATCGATCGGAAGTGAAGTGCGGAGCGGTCCGAGACAAAAGAAAGGTTGGGGACAAGTTGAGCTACGACGACGCAAACGTCTCCGGGCAGCTGCAACTGGAACAAATGACTCGCATCTTCAAAACATTCAGCGCCCATACGTTTGTGGCGAGCAAACGGAGCTGTCGTGTCGCTTTTTTTTTTTAAAATCTGCACTTTATTATTCATTTTGTTTCACACTGAAGCAAACACAGACGTATTTGACGTAACTCGAGAGACGTTTTAGGGCCGCCTCTGAAAAACCCGCCAATGAAATGATGACTTCACTGACACTCGGAAAATCGAAAACAATGCAACAAAACAGAACATCAAGTGAATAACAAAACATGTTGTACCGCGGTAGTGAGTGCGGAAGGAAAGCGCTCGTGCGTCCGCTAAAGTTTCAACATTCCAATGACACGTTGTTGCTTTTGTATCGTGCCCATTGCAAGTATGCGAACTCTTGACTGATGAGTCACATGGAACTCAACACAAACGTATTGAGTTCCATCTTCCGTCGCGGCGTTTCAGTCTCCCCGTCCCGCCATCTTCACCTACGTGATAAGTACGCGACTCCATTTCTCGTCTTCCAGTTCTGCTTTTCGGTAGTGTCGAAGTATTTTTGGTTCTTTCCGAACAACAACAACAACAACAACAAGGTGCACTAACTCCTCCCAGAAACGCAAGCCCTGAGCCTCGCGGTGACGTTGGCAGCAAGTGACTGAAAACAAGGTGCACTAACTCCTCCCAGAAACGCAAGCCTGAGCCTCGCGGTGACGTTGGCAGCAAGTAAGTGACCCCTCCCCCTCCTTCCCCGCTTTCGACTTGCCGCGACGAGCCTCGGGGAACGCCGAAGGTTCCCGTTTGACGAGTAGGAAGAAGGTCGCAGACGACGTCGCAGAATTCGGACCGCGAAAGACCCCAAGTCGGACGCGATGGGTGAGTCAACTTTGCGTTTGTTTTGCTGGGGGGGGGGGGGGGGGGGGGGGGGGGGGGCGCGAAAGCCGTTTGCCATTCAAGAACCCGGAGTCCGAATTTAGGACGACGTACTTGCGAAGACAACGTTGACGCAAACGCTTGGAGCGCCGAAGCGCTTCAGAAGTGAAAGCCCACTTGCCGTGTGCGAAACGGGAGGGGGGGCAAATTGGTTTTTGCCGCCAGAGTCGACCGCCTTCCCTCCGAGGGCCGTTATGACACTGAAACCAAATCAAGGTTTCACCGTGTCATCGGATTATGATTTGTACACAACGCATTGTCCTCGTTTTGAAATCAGACAGCTCTCAAAGTGTGTTGAATGATTGTTGAGTGAGCGTGAACACAATGAGCACAAAATCTCAACGTGATTACGCGCACGACCTTTTGGGATTTTAACCAGGGTCGTGGAAGTCGACGCACTGCCATTTGTTTTCGCGTGTCCCATCAAACAACGCGGCCGGCCGGCCGGCCGTACCCGGCTCCCCGGGCCTCGAGTTTGACACCGGTGCGGCAAAATAAACTGAAATATCAAATGGCCGCGAATGTCTATTCCAAAGTTTTTTAATATAACCGCAAATAGTGGAGGTCCACCGCAGCGCATTTTGGCATTCATCTTCACATTTCCCTCGAAATTTTCACGGCTACTTATGTACGTATGATTCGACGGCGCGACGTTTGGGCGTCACCGTGGGCGGGCCGAAAGATTGGAACGACGTGCCCCACCGTTGTGCCGCAGAGGTTCTGGTGCTGATCAACTTCGAGGGCACCATGGGGGACGAGATTACGGTGCGAATGGGGGACGTGGTCAAGAATGTCACTAAGGCCAGCGAGGACGGCTGGCTGGAGGGCGAGCTGCGAGGCAAGCGAGGCATCTTCCCGGCCAACTTTGTCAAGGTCCGTTTGGCCGACGGCGGCGGCGAAGCGGCCCGCTCTCCGCTTTGCTCACGTGTTTCGGGGCGGTCTTTCCAGGAGGTGCCCGTTTACTTGACGGGGAACAGCAAGCGGGAACCCAGAAGCATCCGAACAAGTACGCGCCTCGGTCCTCGCTAAATCCGCGGTTGCTCGTTGCCTCTAAACTTTCGTCTCTCCAGCCAAGAGGATGAAACAAGCCAGGACGTGCGAGGTGGTGTTTGCCTACAGCCCCGTGAACGAGGACGAGCTGCAGTTGGTCGTCGGGGAGACGGTGGAAATCCTCAGCGAGGTGAGCTTTCGCATCTCGTGACAGGAGTGAGCCCGCGAGGCTTTCCTGTGACGCAGACGCAGGCGCGAGCGGACCGTCGACCCGGCGGGCTTCGCCCCCCGGTGGT